AAAACTTTTAGGATCACTTGCGGGGTGATTACAAACAAACAAGGCAACATATTTAAGAGTTTAAAAAAAACACTCGACCATTTATAATTTTAATTGAGAGGTTTTTATTCTAATATGTTAATATAAAACTATATAATACTTTACTATATAATTAAAATGTAGCACATTTTTTTTTCAGTATAAATAAAGTTCTATAGTTTTTCTAGAAGAAAAATTTGACTTCATTCGTTTAAAATTTCCCCGCTTCTGTTAGGTTAGGTTAGGTCTTAGACGCGTTTGATAATGTATATACTCTTGAGGGCAAACAAATAAATAAAACGATATAATGAAAACTGGTATAACGTACAGTTTTTGACGTGTCATCTGCAGTGCAGCGTACCGTGGTGGTATTTACCGTTTTCCTTAAAACTGCAGCTGTTTTAATAAAAATATATATTAATATACAGAGAGAGAGAGAGATAGAGTGAAAAAAAATTGTGCGTGTGGATCAGTACTGCAATGCGGCGGCGTTTTAATAGAGACGTCTGTGTTTAATTTGGGATTAATCGAAAATAATAATGTATATAAACTCACTGTCGACACGCTATGTCAGCCGTGCGGTATATGTTATATAAATATATGTATATATAACGGGCTAAGGTACCGTGACGGACTTTTGGAAACAACACCGGAGCCGTGTATAAAACGAATTCAGTAGGGGCGGCGCACTATAACCCAGATGGTCGCCAACGATATGTGCACCATAAGGGTAGTGGTGGTGGTGGTGGTGGTGGTGGTGCTCGTTAAATAAAAACGTTTCGATCCTTAATTATTATTATACAGCGCCTGGAGAGGAGTACATTCTGTGATATTATTATTATTATATAGGTATCTTAGTGCGTTTTCGCCTTCGGATCTCGGCCCCGGTCCGGGTTGTTTACTCGAACACCTGGCACGGTAATAATGTTATCAAAAAAATAAAAACGTTGAGGTTTAAACTGGCTTCGCGCCGCTGACCGGGTAGGTATATTATTTTTTTTCAATCCTTGTGGTGTATACACACATTCACCTTTTTCGGTCATAATAACAATATTAATAATATTATCATGTATTTATACAGAATACTTTTTTTAATGTACACAACGTCGTTTGTACAAAACAACAACAATAATACAAATACTTTTTACGCGTAGGTACATTGTCAAGTTGTATACGGGTGTCGAAAAAATAGGTGTGTGCATTTGTACCGAGGTAGGTTATCTTATTCGTTTGTCTTATTTAAAATAAAAATCCGCTGGCTTCCGTCCCGACGCCTTCGGCTATATTATTAATAGCTCGTGACAGTCAAACATGTGCTGGTAATAATTACTAATTAAACCCGAGATATCTCTATTAAAAATAGGACGACGCGTGACCCCTCGAACCCGGATCGCCGCTGCCGCCGTCCTTTGTGTACAAGCGAATGTGTGTGTGTGTGTGTTTTTTTGGTTTCACCAAGTTGTGTATCGAATTTTTTAACACCGCGCGCTGGTCATAGAACGAATCGAAACGTTTAGCGACCGCCTTCGCCGCGGTATATAATTATTATTATAATTAAACCTTTCATCCTTACGCCGCAACGGTAGCGATGCTAAACAAAAAAAAATGATATTATACCGCCTCGCGCCGAGACCGTTAACAAATCGCTTCATTAAACGTTTAACCGAGCGGCCGACGTCATAAGTTTCCATTTAGTTTCTGTGTGCAAAACGCCGAGACGCTTTTATTTGCTTTACAACAACGCCGAAACAACGATAAAAAAAGTTTAATATTGCTGTACGTTACCTCGGTTGAGTCAAAAACTTTATAAGTTATACAATACCGCAGGCCCTTTATACGTACCTACATACTGTGATCTAAGGAGCATGCCCACCCCCACCTTCGAAATTCTTTAACTAGTTTCGTATACGTATCATAATAATAATATTGGGTAAAACGTACAAGAGTTACATTACCTTTATATAATATATTATAATATAGATTGCTGTGATTGTACTCGATGGTAAAAGTTACTAGCTCATATATAATTAAACAAAATTAGAAATTTTGTAATAAATTGTCTTTTTTTATTAAATCTTAACTCTTCTACAGTCGGACAGGCCTTTCGCCTTGTGCTTCCTCGCGTAGGCTATGGACATTGAACCTGTTGGTGTTAATCTGGCCTCGATCAGGACTTATGGTTACTTGCTTGTGTCATGTTGTTGTGACACAATCAATTAGTAATTTCAACGGGTATTCTAAAACCAATTAACCAACGGGTTCCCTCTAATAGTTTATTTTTTTTTTTTAGGTTTTACATCATAATTCTATCATCACATCGAGGCTCGTTCCGACGAGCATCGTCTTGTTAATGTGTTTTACACTTCTAGTAATAACGCCAAGAATATTATATTATTTTCGTCCGACGTATTTATACGGCTCCAATAAAATTCAAGTGATTTAAAATCGCATTCGAAACGGTTGATGTGTTCTTAAGAGCTTGGAAGTAATAAAAACGAAGGGGATAACTAGGGAATCGTGAGTGCATTCAATTTTCCGGACTTAATTTATAACGACAATTTGACAGGGGTCTACAAATACAGCAGCTGTTATGAGGGGAAACGTTAATTATACGAAATACTTCCGATGTTATTGGAATTACTGCGACGATTCGTTTGGGCGAGTCAAATATAAAAATATTATGTTAAGTCATTAAACAATTTAACGATCAATTCGAAATAATAATATTCTCTTATACTTACCGGTAAACGGTAGACGGCCATAAGAAATACTGTATTTTATCGGTTTCTCGCTGCCGTAGAATATGGATCAATGACAATCGTTTGAAACTACACGAGTACACAATTTATGTCCAACATCTTTATATTTACCTAGTTTGTCTTAACGCCGGAACTAAACCGGTTGTGCTCGCATGTCGCCACTTCTACGTCATTAAAAAAAAACATAATAAAGTAACAACCAAATAACCGACTGTAGTAGTTAGTATACAATAAAAAAATAGATGGAAAAAAAATCTTAGTTTTTGGATGTTTACACCTTACGAAGAGAAAAAATTGGTAACCGATTGACTCGAGGAGAAGCTAAATTACTCGTAGAAACCATTTGGATTGATCTTATCCTATTTTAGTGACATATTGCGTGCAAACACATCCTTTTAATCGAGTAGTTCAGTATAATATATTATAATAGAAGCTATTTTAGTAAAATATTAATATTAAAACATTTAAAATAACTTCCACTACAAAATGACATAGTCCACAATAGCTTATATTTCAATAACAATGTTACATAATATGATACCATCATCAGCGCTCACCTCTCACTTGGTTATGATAGGTTAGGTTTAATTCTTATTCTAAGGCAAACTATAGTATTAATGTACAGTAAAGTATTTCATCAGTAAAATATTTGATGTATTGAATCTATATTAACGGCGCATCGAACACAACGGTGGATATTGTACAATTTTATAATGTTGTCAATATTTTTTTTTTTTAATTTATCCTATACCGTGATGTTTATGCGTTTTAGTGTTTGTAACGGCCGCCGTCGCTCGTCGCCGGAGTTCGCCTTCCTGCTGTCAGTTAGCAAATACTTTTCCATGTCGAGAATGGTACTACCACTCGGTATTTATGTTTAGAAGCTCAGCTGCCACATTGCCGTGTCTTTGTAAACAATGAGAATCTATTGGTTTGCATACCGTAGTCACGAATACTTACTTCAGTCTGACCGGCTAATGGATTACGGCGCGGACACATTATTGTCATATTACGTTTTGTCTTTTTTTTTTAAATTTGTTTTCTTTGCGTACTTGTTACCTTCCGCCAAAAAGGTTTGTTTAGGATTTCAAATACACCACGACGGCGGCTGTGGCGGTAGCAATAAAATCCACATCTTAAGTCCTCTTTGCGTTGAACGGCGACTTGTGTGCGGTTCTGGAAACGCGACTCGTCGGCGGCGGCCGTGTTTACGGAGGTCTTCGGTGCAGATCGGGTTTTCACCATCAGACACTCGTGTCTACCTATATACATATACATATATACACAATAATAATAATAATAATAATATTATAATGGTCATCTGCTCGAAGACTCCGGTGGCAGTATGTATCCAAGGTGGCGGGTCGGCCACACATAAGTATAACTAGTTTTCGGATCGCACACGCTTGCCACTACTTCCGGCGGCAGGATTCGGGTGGCCGGAACTGACTCACGCGTTCTCCGTCAAGACAGTCTTGTCTATGGCTTATTTAAAAAATGTTTTAAGTTCAAAACATAAAAGAGCGACATTCCAAAGTTCTGATAAAATAAAAATAATTTCACGGGAAACGGTTTTCTATTCCAAGTTGCAAACAAGCTATAAACATAATATTGTGTACAACGTGACAAAAAAATTAATTGGAACTTGTCATTTTGATTCCTCCAAAAACTCTTTTTTCAATTACAATCGAGAGCAATTTTAAAGCGTTTTCTTTACAGTATTTCTTTACCTGGCGCAGTTTTTTTACTTTTTTTACTCAACACGTTTTATCAATACAGAAAACCGCCGTGTTCCTTGTCAGATCCGTTTGCGGTGAACCGATTTTCGGCAAAAATGTACTTGGAGCATTATTTATTTTTCTAATTAAGCCATCGATATGCCGTACACAGGCGTTGTTGTTGTTGTTGGTGGCCGCCACCGCCACCGCGGCGTGTCGCCACGTCGAGACGGCGAGATGAAGATGCAAACTCGGTAGGTAGGTTAGGTATGTGTTGTATCGGGCGAGTCAGTATCGCGGCCGCCGTGCGGTTGTGTCTCGCAGGCGCCTTTACAACACGCCGCAGCTTGGGAGGTAGCCCGCGCACCAGTCCGTGTGACCACCGCGAAGGAACCGGTTTCGTGCCGGGCGACCGTACGTATATACTGTTGGGCCTTGGTCGTAGGTATAATACACAAACCGTACATACACATCCGCGTGTATTATATTATTATATATACGTACGCGTACACATAATATATAAGTATATGGTCGTCACCACCACCGCCGCCGCAGCGCGCAGCCATCGTGCACGTTCGTTAAATGCATGACCGGGGCCGCCTTGCCGGTGCCCAGTCTCAGTAGTAACGTCGCTGTCGATCGTGTGCTGCTCATCACCGTGCCTCGTCGTTCGTTCGCATTAGTCCGCCGCGACAGCCTTTTTTTACACTCTTGTCGTTTTACTACCGGTTGTCTTAAAAAATATATAAATCATATTATTATTATTATTTCTCGCCGTCCGTTTGACCGCGTTTCTGTGCGTCTGTGATTTTTCCTATTAAAATTAATTCCTACCCAAGAATTTTTTGAAATTATATCGCGAAAAATGCCGATCGGCGCAGTGTTATCATCAACCCGTCACCACGGTGTCGTCTGTTAAATCGCGTTTAGTGCGTTAAATGTGCGACCGCCGGTCGTCGAGCATTTGTCGTGCGCTGTTACCGGTCATAGACGGCGGCCGATGATTCCTAGACTAGTCCAAGTCTAGGAAACCAGTTCCAAGGTAAATTCATAACATGATGTACAATGACATTAATTGCAATATATATAATAATATAAGTCGCTGAAAACGTCCCAACGAAAACCCGAAACCGACTTACAGGTTTTCGTACCTTCGACCAGCCCTTTAGTTATCCACGCAACTTGACAATCAAAGTTAACTAGCTAGAGACTTTTTTTTGTTTAAGCCCAGCGAATGCTTGGTTTTAACTTGGTCGGGGGCTTTTATTAATTTTTTTAAACCTGGTTAATGCCTTCTCTGTCGACAATTCCGGACCAGAGCCCCTTTTTCCACAACGCTTGACTACGAAAACGCCGCAACCTTTAAGACGCGGCTATCTAGTTCTAGTTCAGTTCACGGTGGTCACTATAGACATATCGAGTTGCTTTATAATCTATACTATACAAAATCTTTAAGTATCGTTACCGTTTCAAAAAATCACAATATTGCCAACACGTCAGCCAACGGCTGATTACAACTGTTTAAAACAACGCAGCGTGAACAGAAGCACAAAAGCAATCCGAATAGAATTTCGATTACGTGTTTTCTCCTTTGTCTACAACTCTATGCGACAAGTCGTACATTATTATGTAATTCCCGGGCAAATCAACGTCTTCCAAGAAAACGTTTCCCTCGGTATAACATTTTTTATAATATGTATAGGTATGCGTCTCGGGTGTCTCTGTATGAGTTACATATTTTGCTTATGTCGTTTCTATTATTATTATTATTTAATATACCTAAGAATTTAATCGGCAACCGCAAAACCGAGAATTCGTGAAATATTGTTTTTTGCACATGACGTTTTGCGTATTAAACAGAAGACTTATCCGCCACCCCTTTTGCGTTCTCAATCCGACAGACACAACAAACCACACACACACACACAGAACACTACACCCCTCGACCCACGATGTGCCGGCGAGCAAAGTTTCCGACCGTATTGTAATATATAATATAGGTGCACAACTTACATTCAAAATCTATACAGGCTCTACCGCATGTCATTCGCGCTTTATCGGTCACAAGAAACATAAGATGACAATAATATAATATATTATTATTATTACCGTACATACGTTATAAGTAAAATATGACTTTGGTCGCCGCTTAATCCTTATTTATGAGCGCACTCGACGAGTTGTCCCAACCGCGTACGCATTATTAAAATATAAATAGGTATAGAATATCATCATCATCGGGTCGACACTGCTGCATTGTGTCTAGATAATTATATTGTCTCTGCGACGGTCGTTTGAAAATATTATGTCCTTATGTCATGACTGTTAGACATAGCCGCTGGTGTATCCTAGTTTTATACCGTGATATTTATAACACATAGGAACATTATATATCTAATAGAAATATCTTATATTCATCATAGTATATTTATCATAGTATAACTGTTAGGAAAATCCGTAATCCGTCCACAAGGGTGCAAAGTATAAGTTATCAAGTATTATCGCATATGTATTTTATTACAGATAAGTAGACACTTCACTCGTGACCTATATGTATATTATTATGAGAGAATGTTTCCTAATTGTTCATGTATAAAGTACAATGCCCACTTATCGTGTCGGGACGAAAGAGGATACTTTATTACCTACACACTTTAAATATTATATTAATTTTTCATACAATATAATTAAATGGAAACGGTTCATTTTTCTAGACCTATAAATTATATTAAACGAGTCAAATGGTTAAGGCAATCGCCGAAAGTACCTATATGTATAAACTTTCCGTCGAGCGCATCCGCCAAGTCTATTTAAAACTATATGTTTGCGTTTAGTGTCTAATAATTATGACTGCATCTTCTTAATCATAAATCACCTAGTATTCTATCGATAATAATATCGTCAAGACTTATACGGGCCGCATAAGATTCCATTAGGAAATCTATGTATGAAATCCATGTATGAAACCCATTAAAAGAAATGTCGTTCAAATTATTTCAAAGGTCACCTCAGGAATTAACTTTATATTATTTACATGTGTACAACAACGTACATTCACGAGTACGACAAAACTGGTTTGAAAAATGTAAATCATTACATAAAAATATAAATGGAATATATTATTTTATGTTTAATTAAGTGTAATTTAATTACACAATTTACAAAAGGAAAGTAATTTGAACAACAGTTTCCGCTCATTGGTTCTGAATAAAATGTAAAAAAAGGTACATATTAATATAAAAATAAATATGTTTTTGATGTTTATATAATTGGTGCAGCGAATGATTATTTTCTTCAGAGAGACCACTCGGTAATTATTACAACCAGGATTAAAAACTCCAAGAGCGGACTGGGCCAGGGCAAATGTCCACGGGGCGGCTTCTGTTTTTACCGTCAAGTTATGGGGTCGATATTCTATTCTGTGGACAATTTCTATGGTAGATAAACGGCATTTTTGTTTTAAATTTCGCGGGCAGTCTTTAAATTAGACCTGTCCAACACGTTCCCGACCAAAGCTCAAGAACAACGTATTTTATTTGATTTCACAATTTTAAGATTTTGTCGAGTTTTCAAGAGTATTTTCAAGGGCATTGGCCCAAACCTAATTACTACGATATTATGTAAGTAATTAATGTGCGTTTGTGTGATGAATTTGCTGTATACCGGCATTGAGGTGCGTGTTTTTTTTTTTTTTTTGATTTCTTAGCGGTCGATAATAATGTAATTACACGGTGGCAGAAAAAAACACATCTCCGGGCTTAGTTAACGACCAATCACGTTAATCGGCTAGTTCGGCGCGCGTGCGAGTGTGTACTATTATAATGTGGATAAGCACTCGTGAAATTTCTAAAACGAAAATTCAACGCTAATACACAACAATATTGTGTTTTCTTCTCCTAGTACATTATACGGTGTATCATGTCCGCGCAGCCGCCATTCCGGTTACGTTCTAAATAAAGTCATTAAAAACAATAAAGCCATTATTTATAAAGTAAAAAAAAAAACCTGTTTGCCCAGAGTGAGAGAGAGTGGTCCGGTAGTTCGCAACCCCTCAATTGTTCGATACCTGCCGCCCGCTCGTTTATACCTATATCATTATGGTCTGCGCCTAAAGAACACAATAATTAAGTGATACCACTCTTCTTCTTATGTCGTTCTTAGTAAAACAGTTTTTTTTGTCCTCGATTAACCATGAGACCATATTGTCGATCGTTATTATCCACGCAGCATTCCTCCGATCAGTAGCAATAACGTTAGGTATGAATTACATTAATAAAACTTATAGCATTTTTTTTTTTTTGTAACCAATGACTTGCCAATAATGGACAATAATATGTCTCCGATGTCAGGAGGGGCTTTTTTTAAACCCGGAAAGTTCTAAGCTAGCTCTAATCGGTCACCTGAATTTAATCGCAAATCTTCCGAGTCCCTAGCTGTAGTCTCAGCAACTGTAAAATATTGTTTTACAAGAAACGGATTGACGGTAAAAAAAACCACAAGTCGTTTGGAATAATTACTATCGCATAATGATGATGAATTGATAACCAATTTTTTAAAAATTTTGTAGTCGAACAAATAGTATAGAAAGAAGAAATAAAAATAAAACAACGGTAGAAAAAGCAAAGGAGAAAAAAAAATTATAATATTATTTTTAATCCGTCGTTATGACCGTCGCCAACGAATCGTTACGCGGATACTTATCTTTGTAATTATCTTTTCTTCGTAAATAAGAAATATCGCGACCATTGCTGCGATATATATATATAAATTATGATGAATAATAACGCCCTTATCTCCGGACTTCCGTAGCCTCTCGCTCTTTCTATTTCTCTGTCTGCGCTAGTCAAATAAATTATACTGTCGTTTTTCCCCTTTGTTTAATACCGCGATAAAAATATTTATTTCGAAAACGTTCCAGTAGGAAACAAAATACCGTTACTCGGCATATAAAAGAAAATAGTAATAACAATTACGCTCGCCACCGTTGGGCGTCGACATTGTAGGTATTATAATATTATTTTGTACATCAAATAGTTTAAGATCAAAAAGCTTTGTGTGGCTCACTATGGTGACGCAAGAATGTTCATTAATACAACCCTTAACTTATCTTATGTACTGTGTGTTCGTTATTAACCCTTAGAACTGGACTATTGATTTTTCACTTGGCATGGAACTATTGCGTGAAATACTCCAGACCGGGCAAAAGGAATAGTTGTTGTTGTGTGTGTGTAGGATATAAGATACACTGCCGGATCAAAGGTGGAAAGATATAAATCGTTTAACGGCGGTTTTACGATGACAAAGCAGGCGATGACGGGGTAAACAGCTCTAACACTTTACATTATGCGTATCCTCCGGGAGTTGGTGTGCGATTTCATTACATAATTATCACATCGGTTATATAGGCCTGGCTAGGACGACATTGTGCGGTCGTTATTTTATTGTATGCTACAAACTCCATAGGACCTGTATAATCCCGACGACGGTTTTAGCGTGTGGCCGCCGCCCCATGGAATCGGATATTTTTTCCTTTTCATATTGTAATAGTGATAATTTCAAGCATGTGTCGTCGACTCATGTGGAGCGGCGGCGGTCCTGCCAACAGCCGCTGTGACATCGATTATAAAAATGCTTAAAACGTGTACGCGTTGCCCGAAATTGTACAAATCATTTTTGCCCGTGTGATTATAATAATAGAATCTATAGCGAAAGAGAGAGAGAAACGGAGAATAAAAACCGATTGTCGGTTAAACGTTTTACAATAAAAATCATATAATAATAAATAGAAGGAGAGCTGCTGCGCTCAGTGGGTTTGGTCATGCGAGGGAAAGGAATAAAAAGAAGAAAAAAAATCTGTCTTTTTTTTCCACCGAATATTGTAACAGCTCAGGGAAAAAATCGAAACCAGCCACTCATTAAAAACGGTAACAATGTCTCTATTCGAATGCGTTGTATAGGACCGGCCATTTGCTCGCCGTACAATGTATACCTCCATACAAAATCTATTATACTAGGTATATAACATAATGTATGTATAGCGGA